CCTAGAGTACTAGGTTTCCGCACCTCCCTGTGTCCTCTCGGGGCAAAGGTAAGGCTCTCCGTAGCTGAGCTGCGCTGACCGCTGAGTGCCTGCTGCTCCCACCGGGTCCCAGCAAAGCTGCAGGCGGGGCTGCTGGCGGGAAGCTAGGAGCAGGGCCGGGGGAGAGACACTAGGGAGAGGGAAGGGGGAAAGGCAGTTGCTCAGGGGCCCAGAGACACTGCGTCAAAGGCCGCCCGAGAGCCAGAAGGAACCGGGCCATGACCTAGGCAGAATTTCAGATTGAAATGATAATTTTGCATCTACCTTGAAAAGGAGAAGGAGAATTGATTGTTACTGGGTGTTTTCGATTCAACAATTACTTTATACACCACACATCATTTAATTTAATGGTGAACCAAAATCCTTTTAAAGATGAGTCTGCCACTCGCCGAAGGTGAATTTCAGGAGTCTCGGCGGCTGCTGGGCGGCTGCTGGGTGCCCTGTTTGTATGGTTTAGGTAGGGCTCACTCATGGTCCTCACAGTCACTGCTGGCGGACCCTGGGTTAGAATCCACATGCACGCGCCCCAAGGCGCTGCTGCTTTGGCTCGGCCGCCTGACCTGTCTCACCCTGTCCTGGCCTGAGGAAGTTTGCCCAAGTCAGACAGCAGCCAGGGGGCGCCTGGCCCGGCTGCGCCTCCAAGCGGACAACTGAGAGTGGGTTCTTGACTACCGTGAAATATTTGAGGGTGCAAGGATTCAAGGAAAACGAGGCCTAAAAACAAGAATATATATTTGGCGGAAAAGGAAAAGATCTGCTCTCCGGCGAGACACCTCCAGGAAGGCAGCTGTGTGTGGTGGTTGAGGGCACAGGGGGTGCGGGTGGGGACGAGATGAAAGCCTAGAGTACTAGGTTTCCGCACCTCCCTGTGTCCTCTCGGGGCAAAGGTAAGGCTCTCCGTAGCTGAGCTGCGCTGACCGCTGAGTGCCTGCTGCTCCCACCGGGTCCCAGCAAAGCTGCAGGCGGGGCTGCTGGCGGGAAGCTAGGAGCAGGGCCGGGGGAGAGACACTAGGGAGAGGGAAGGGGGAAAGGCAGTTGCTCAGGGGCCCAGAGACACTGCGTCAAAGGCCGCCCGAGAGCCAGAAGGAACCGGGCCATGACCTAGGCAGAATTTCAGATTGAAATGATAATTTTGCATCTACCTTGAAAAGGAGAAGGAGAATTGATTGTTACTGGGTGTTTTCGATTCAACAATTACTTTATACACCACACATCATTTAATTTAATGGTGAACCAAAATCCTTTTAAAGATGAGTCTGCCACTCGCCGAAGGTGAATTTCAGGAGTCTCGGCGGCTGCTGGGCGGCTGCTGGGTGCCCTGTTTGTATGGTTTAGGTAGGGCTCACTCATGGTCCTCACAGTCACTGCTGGCGGACCCTGGGTTAGAATCCACATGCACGCGCCCCAAGGCGCTGCTGCTTTGGCTCGGCCGCCTGACCTGTCTCACCCTGTCCTGGCCTGAGGAAGTTTGCCCAAGTCAGACAGCAGCCAGGGGGCGCCTGGCCCGGCTGCGCCTCCAAGCGGACAACTGAGAGTGGGTTCTTGACTACCGTGAAATATTTGAGGGTGCAAGGATTCAAGGAAAACGAGGCCTAAAAACAAGAATATATATTTGGCGGAAAAGGAAAATTTTCCCCGTAAACTGGAAGAACACCTGCCTCCTGTTGTCCCAAAGAGGAAGCACTTTTTCTCTTTTCTTCTGGATATTTTACTCCGAGCTTTTACAGGTCTTCTGTGCGATGCCTCTTGCGCCCCTCCCCCTTTTTTCTTCCCTTATGCCAAGTGCCAGTCCCTTGTCCCCTTTTCTGCGTTTTTTTCCCTCACACCTATTTGTTTTCATCTTCTTCCTGGAGACAGGGACCCTGTGCTCTGGTGTGCTCTCTACGGCTTCGGATGACACTATAAGGTAGGTGTCAGAGTCCCATTTGAGGGATGAGGAAACGGGCTCAATGTCAAGTGAGTGGAACCAGTGGGCGGATTTTGTGGCGCCCTCTGTGGGAGCAGGCTGTGGGGAGGATCTGAGGTGACACGGGGATCCCCACCCCCTTCTTCTGTGGCCTTCACTTGAGAAGTTGCCACCAGGCAAGGTGAGAAGGTTGGCCCCGCCCTTTTGTATCACCTTTGGACACCTTGTTACATTGCTTCAGCCACTGCCCGCTCCCTCATTGGCCTGCCACCACGCATCCCCATTGGCTGTGGGGACCAGGAATGCGCCGTGATTGGTCCCTGCCCGAGGTGCTAGGTCTGTCTTTCTGGCCCGGGCACAGTCCCACCCTGGCTGACGCGGGATTCCGGTGGCCGCTGTCACCGCTATCCAGGCTTTGCGCAGCCTCCCGCACGTCCGCGGAGTGGGGATGCCGTGAGCATGGTGCCCACCTCCTCCCACACGTGAGTATGGAATAAACGCTGAGGTTAGCCTCCAGCTCATCTCCAGAAGATGCCCTTGGCAGTGTGAATGTCTGTACTTGCGACACATCCAAGCCGGTGTGTCCAAACAGGTGAACGTTTGCAACCGGGGCCAGACTTTAATATGAGCATTTGTCCGTGTCATCCTGAGGACCTACATGTTTATGAGAATGACTGTGGATTTTGCTTTCACACGATCTCATAAGCATAGGGAGGAATCAAAGGAAGCTGCTATGGGTGGCAAAACATTACCTGGTGAATTGTGTACCTTTACCTAGAGTTTGCTGATGAGGTGGGATCACGCAAATGTTTTGTGGAGAGAGGCTTAGAAATGATGAAAATTTCTCTGAACTGTGGAGAAGGTGGGGTCATACTTAAAAAAAAATTAGTTGAGGGAGTTTTAAAAATTTCAGCTCTAAGTGTGTAGTAAGTGGTGTTTTAAAAGGAAAATACTTGTAAAGAAAGTATGCTTTGCTTTATGATGAGAAATAATAAAAAATATGGCATGATGGTAACGAATCTTCACAAAATACCTTGTTAGAAGAATGCATCAATGAAGCTGTCTTCTCACCTTGTTAGACTGAAGGTTATAGTTAGCAAGATGATCAATGAACAGGTTTGAACACAGTAAAAAGTGTGTAATAGGAAAAATATGTCAGAGCTGTGGCCATCCTGAAATGCCTGAGGTGATTTTTGGCTCCAAAATGCCTTTTGGGGGTCTCAGCAAATCATTCTTAGTGGAGAGCACGATGCAGCATTTAGAAGTAGGACACTGAAAATTGCGTGGGCTCTAATTAAGCTTAACATCTACTTGGCTTGATTTTCCCCATAACGCAGGAAGGGATCTTCTCCTATCTTCCCTGCGGCACCTGGGGCAGGCAGGGTGAAGAGGAGGCCATAGCTCCCGGCAGCTGGGCTGGAGATGCTCTGGCGCCATCACTGTTCCTAGAAGCGGGAGGCAGGCGGTACCCTCAGGATAGCAAGTAAGGGAGAGTCTGCCCCCTGTGGGAAAGGCAGAGGACTGCACCCTTATTTAGCGACTGAAATTGTTTGCCCAGCCATCCAGCTCTGTCCCATGGAGTGTGTTTGGATAGAAGCCTGCAAGGAAACTCAAATCACAGCATTAGCACTGGGAGAGCCCCAGATTCCCCACAAGCCAAGGCAGTGGTGTTCTTAGACTGTTAGAGAATCCAAGATCCTGGGATGACCTGGTATTTTTACCTCCTTTCACCAAAATCCCCTGATGTCCAGGCATCTTCATTTCTCTTTATTGTAAACAAATAAAGAAAACCTAACTTCGTGGGTTCAAAAGGTTCCCATTTGCTCTAAGCAGTTCAAAACCTTCCCTGTTTCACTTTGCTTCCGGTTAAAAGTTTGTTGGTGTGTGGGATTTGGATGGGTTGCTGCAGGTCTGTGGCCTCCTAGCCATGCTGATGGCATACGTCCCAGGACTGAATGGGAAAGGAGTTTATGGGGATCAGTGCAGGCAACTGAAGCAGCACCCATACTTCCTGCCCCTGTTCTGAGAAACAAACTGAGGGGCAGTAGACAGATTGGTGACAATCTTGTTGTTGATGGGAGATCTGCTTTCCAACCTCAATGATATTTTACAATCCCATATTCCCTGATTGGATTCACTGTCTCTGTGGCCGATTCTCTCCCTAGAACTTAGTGGGAAAGCTTTCTTTCAACCCCTTCCCCTATATTCCTTCCCTCCACAGAGGAGATTCTGTTACCAGTGACGACTGGCTGTGGGGCTCTGAGAGGGGCATGTGTGTCCCGTGAACAAGTCAGTCACCTGGGGAGCATGTTGCCCCTCATGCCTGGGCTCACCCCTGTAGGTCGGATCCAGTGTTTTTTTGTTTTTTTTGTTTTTTTGTTTTTTTTTAGATAATTATTTTTTATTGAAGGGTAGTTGACACACAGTATTACATTAGTTTCAGGTGTACAACACATTGATTCAACATTTATATACGTGATAATTCTAGGTACCAGCTATCACCATACCAAGTTGTTACAATATTTTGACTATATTCCTTATGCTATACATTACATCCCGGTTACTTATTTATTTTACAATTGGAAGTGTGTACTTTTTTGTGTGTGTGTGAGGGTATCTCTCCTATTTATTGATCAAATGGTTGTTAACAACAATAAAATTCTGTATAGGGGACTCAATGCTCAATGTATAATCATTAATCCACCCCAAGCCTAATTTTCATCAGTCTCCAATCTTCTGAAGCATAACGAACAAGTTCTTACATGGAGAACAAATTCTTACATAGTGAATAAGTTACATGGTGAACAGTACAAGGGCAGTCATCACAGAAACTTTCGGTTTTGATCACGCATTAGGAACTATAAACAGTCAGTTCAAATATGAATATTTGTTTGATTTTTATACTTGATTTATATGTGGATACCACATTTCTCTCTTTATTATTATTATTTTTAATAAAATGCTGAAGTGGTAGATAGATGCAAGATAAAGGTAGAAAACATAGTTTAGTGTTGTAAGAGAGCAAATGTAGATGATCAGGTGTGTGCCTGTAGACTATGTGTTAATCCAAGCTAGACAAGGGCAATAAAACATCCATGGATGCAGCAGATTTCTCTCAGTACAGGTGGGGAGAGGTTCTAAGCCTCACCTCTGTTGTGGATCCAGTGTTTTTGAGGTGGGGCCTGGCATATTTATTTTCAACAGTCCCCCCAGGTGATCGTCATGCACCAAAATTGGCAGACCACTGGCCGAGGTCATGCAGGGCCCCTGTGCAGCTGGACTGAGCTCAGGGGACAGTGGACCCAGTGGGTGCCTCCCATCCTAATTCAGTGAAAACCCCAGCACTGAGTGGATGCAGAGGTGATGAAGATACAGCCCCTCTGTTCAAAGAGCTGGCGGAGCAGTGGGGAGCCAGATTCCCTCTGAGCCGTGGGGTGATTGCCTGATGGAGGGTTCCATGGCTCAGCTAAGAGGCCGTGATCTCTCTCTCTTATTAAAACTCATACCTATCAGCCCCAGAACTGCCCTTCTAGGGAAGGATTTCTGGTCTGTAAACTCACAAAGGACAACATACTGACCATCTTCAGAACTCATAGAGGCACATGAGGTAAAGCCCCTCCCACTTCTCTTGTCATGTGACTTTTTGCTTTCACAGACAGAAGAGCACATTCTTGTCTTTTTAAGATATAATATATATACACAGAAAAGTTCAGAAATCTAAAGAGTACACCTTGATGGATTTTTTTTCGCACATTTATACCCATGTAACCAGTACCCAGATCAAAGAGGGGCACGTTCTTACAGCAAGGAAACCCCCAGAGGGTGGGACACATACCTATTCAGCTTTTAACAGATGGTGAAGAATGAGCTCTCAGGGTGTGGCTTGCGCTCCTTGGCCATGGCAGTCAGTTCACAAGTGTCTGGTGAGTACCTGCAATGTTCTGGAAACTTCCTGGTGTAAAGTTGCCGTGACCTTCAACTGTAAGTAAAATATGAGTGGCTTGTGTCTCCAGGAGTCGAGCTTGAATCCCATTTTGTGCCATCTGTTATTTATTGTATATCTTGTTGATGAGATTCATTGGTTTGGGACTTCTTACTTGGGATGGTGCTGCCCTCCTTTCCACTTCAGTCTGCCTTCCTTTTTCTTTAATACAGTATCTTTGTTAGCTAGGGCCAAAAAAAGCATACTATTACATTGCAGCTTACAATGGAGACCTCTCGAGAAAGCAGCAACTTCAGTGAGAAAGTGGCATCCCTGGCCCCCGCACAGCTGCAGGAGCTCGAGTCACGCGTAGCCCGCAGACGCCTGTCCCAGGCTCGCCACCGAGCCACCCTGGCAGGGCTGTTCAGCAGCCTCAGGAAGACTCTTTACTCCCAGTCTGATCTCACACCCTCAAAGGTACGGGGGCCTGAGTGTGGGGAGAAGGTTCCACATGGGCAGGGACTGTGGGTCCAGGTGGGGACTGGCCTGGAGCTCTCCCACACCTCCCGGCTTTGGCCTGGGTGAGGTCAGCGGTCAGCTTGGGACCCCTCTCTGTGCCTGCTGCTGCGCGTCAGTAGAGCACGAGCACCAGGCCTTACCTACGTGCTGCAGACAGCCTGGCATCGGAAGGGAAACAACGGGCCTGAGAGGCCCGGTTAGCGGCAACTCCCATGCCCACCCCTGTCCTGGGCAGTGGTGAACCTCCAGCTCAGCAGCTGCTCCTGGACCCTGTGTCCCCACCCCAAACACACATGCCAGGCACAGGAACGTGTCTCGGTGTTTGTGTGCCAGGCGGGTCTTTCTCCTTAAGCAGCAGGGCTCCCATGTAAATGTTTTCCTTTCCCTGCTCTTAATTCCACCTTTCTCCTTACGTGGCTTTTCTGTTGCATGTTAGCGCCTCTGGCAGAGCATCGAGGACGTTTTGTATGGTTTCAGGTGGTGGTAGCAGGAATGGAATTAAAAGTATTAGACAAGCACTCTAGGGGGTCTCCAATAGTGGGCATGTCCCCGAGCACCTCTGGCCCCCCAAGCTCTTTAACAGAGGAGGGACTGGGGTCCAGAGAACTCAGATCAGCTGGTTGGTGGCAAGACCAGGAAAAGGCCCCCATTGCCGGCTCCAGACCAGCCCTCTTTCCACCTTCCGCCTCTCTGGACCAGCCTGTTGTGCTGTGACTGTTCCAGCCGAGGGTTTTCCTTCCCAGGCTGGTGCTCTCAGCAGAGTGGCACTTACAGAGAGGGCCCATTTGATGGCAAGAGCTTCTGCTTCCAGAACTGGCATGGCATCCTCGTGGAGGGCAGCCTGCAGAAGAGCTCCTCAGCAGGCACAGGGCAGGGCCTATGCGGAAATCAGAGGCAGGTGCCCCAACACCCTAGGGTGGGGCCCCACACAAAGACGTGGTTGTTTTTAGCTGAATCCCACAGAGATCCCCACCCGCCCTTGTGAAGGGTACAGGGTGAGTGGTGTTGGGAGGGTCATTCCTCCTCCCCCTGCTGAGCTGGGCTCAGGGGTGCAGGGTGGGGAAAGGGAGGGAGATCCCACCTCTGGGCCTGGTGGTGGAGAGCTTGTCCAGCACAGCTCTGCCACAGGTCCCCTGGATGAAGAGACACATACTGCATGCTTCTAGGGGTGCATTAAAATGCAGGTCTCTGTAAGTGGCCAGTGACGACGTGTACAGACTGGCAGCAGGCCCCAAGAAAGAACAGGCTTCCAGGACCTGCAAGTGAGAAATGGAAGGAAATCTAGAGGAAAACCATTTGCACCCCCTATAATGAGTATCTCCCAACTTGGTGGTTGAGGGCTTGGCTGTTAACAGGCCTCAGTCCACGTGGGGCAAGTTACTTGCTAAGCTTTAGTTATCACATCTGTTAAATGCGGACAATACCAAGGGCTTCCTCAGAGCCCTGTTGTGGAGTTTAACAGGATAACTGCATGAAAAGATGTAGCGTCGCATAGTGGTTTTCAATGTTAGCATCATTTCCCGGTACAGTACCTTATTTCTCCCTTTCTGTGCACATCAGCCCAGTGTTACAGCGGAAGAAACTGAGGCCCCCAGAAAGTTAAACTTTCACCAGAAACGGCACATCCAGGAAACAGCCTGACAACCAGATGTTCTCTGTACTCTCCTTTCTCTGTCCTGCATGAGGGACAACCCTGAATTGTGCATGTGCAATATCCCCAAAGAAAGGATTTGTTCTATGAGAGTAATGGTGCGTCAAGGTCGTATTAGTTTCCTAGGGCTGCCCTAACAAACTACCAGGAACTGCATGGCTTAGAAGAACAGAAGTGTATTGTCTCAGAGTTCTGAAGGCTGGAAGCCCCAAATCAAGGTGTCTGCAGGGCCATGCCCCCTCTAACAGCTCTAGGGGAGACTCCTTCCTGGCCTCTCCCCGCTTCTGGAATTGGTGGGCAGTCCTTGGCTTCCTTGACTTGTAGAGGCATCATTCCCCTTGTGTGGCTGTCTTCTCACTGTGTCTTCATATCCTCTGCCCTCTGCGCATGTCTTTCTCTGCATCCAATTTCCCCTGTTCAGGAGGACACTTATCGTACACTGGATTAGGGACCCCCTAATGACCTCATTATCACCAATTACCTCTATAAAACCCTATTTCCAAACAAGGTCATGTTCACAGGTTCTGATGGTTAGGACTTCAACAAATCTTTTTTAGGGGGACACAATTCAACCCAGAACAAAGGTCCTAAGAAAATTAGCCTGCTAAAACACATTCTAGACACAGAACTGCAGCGAGCTGTCCCTGGCTTCCCTGGCTGTGTTCTGGTCCAGCTGTACACAGTGAGACTGCGGAGTGTGGTGCTGCTGAGCCAATGCAGCCACTCGCCCTGGACTAGAGGGCAGCAAGGTCCTCACCTCACCCTAAAAACCAGCCCAAGGTTTGGGCAGCCAGTTGGCCTCTGGTGTCCCAAGAAGGAGCAGAGTCCTTGCTGACCCCACAGTGTAATCATGAGCCCCGGGACAGGGGGCAGCAGATCATGGAGGAAGGCAGGCAGACCCGCCTAAAAGAAGGGTTTCAGATCCTGCAGCGTGCATGATCTGCTGGATTCCCGTGTATCTCAGGTCGCTGTCTTCTAGGGCAGCCGAGCGCTGTGCTCATAGTGCTCTTCAAGTCGCCTTCGATGCACCAGGCAGAATCAGTGAGACCCCAGAATGGCAGCACCCAGAATGGTGGTCCACCCTCAGCTGCTGTGCTGTCCTCTCCCCCACCCACCCCACCCGCCGGCCACATCTCCCCTAGGCAGCTCCCTGCCTCTGTCTTTCCTCATGCGGTTAGCTCTGCCCTTGAGAGTCTATGTGCACTTCAGAGCTCAGCTCCGCTGGCTCTGCTCAGCAGCCGGGCTCCATGGAGTCTTCTCTGTCGCTCCATCTGGAATCAGAACTTCCTACTGTGTGTTTCCACAGCCCTTTGCTTCTAACCCTTTTTAGTGCTTCCTGAATTCTAGCTTGTGCCATGAGTCGTCATCTCCATGCTTGTTACCCTGTGAGAATGTCTGAGAGCAGGGGCTGTCCTGTTTCTTCTGTGTCCCAGGGGCTCAGCACACAGCTTTGCTCTTTCTGCTTGTCTGATGAATGCATGTAACTCCTGACGGCTATCAGTCATCAGCATAATAAACAAATTTAGCATTTCCCTTTTTTTAATAACCTTGCAGTTACCATTTTGACTTTAGTACTAATACTATAGACAGGAAGGAAAAGGAAGGAAGGAAGGAGGGAGGGAGGGAGGAAATGTTTGCCATTCTAGTCTTTCAGAAAAGGAAATTCAGCTTTTAAGCTGATGGAGAGCATTTGAGAAGTTTTTAGATCAACTGGAATGTATTCATTTGACAAATAAAAAAATATTGTTAGAAGAGTACATTTAACATTAACCAGCCAGCCACACATTGTGACAGCTGAGCAGAGATTAGGTCTGGGCCTCTGTGCCAGCCTGGGGCTGATACAGCCCTTGTTTATTCCACCTCAAGTAGTATATGCAGTTGTTAGCCTTTGTGCAGCCCTGGTAGTTTGCTGAACACAGGTAATCGTTTCCAAATACTTTGGTATTTCTGTAAGAACCATTTCCAGCATACAAACTAAAGTTCATGCCTTCTGTGTATCAGAACAAACTTCCTCCCCTTTTTCATCTACAATATCAAGGAGTGGGACTTGGCATCTGAGGCAGCATGGCCTCAGACTGGGGAAGGGCTCCTGTGTCCACATGGCCAGGCTCTGCAGCAGAAGGCTGGCTTTTCAGCATCTCTGTCTCTGTCCTCAGTGGCAGGTTCTGAATAAGGCGAAGAGTCATATTCAGGAACTGGAACAAAACCTGGATAATCTGCTGAAGCTGAAAGGTAATAGTTCCCGACCTGCCATCCCCATCTCCCTCCCAGGGGAAGGCTGGTTGGTGTTTCTGCTGGAAACAGAGAAACTGGGTTAAGCCAAGAGAACAAATACTTACAGAGTGCCTACTGTGTGCCGGGCACTGTGCTTGGGGCAGAGGTATGAAGAGACATGCGCCCCTGTCCTCTGGGAGCTTCCTGTCTGACGGTATGGAGCATGATCAGTCCCCATGGCGGTGCTGTTGAAGGGCACCTGATGTCACCTTGAGAGGCCAGAGAAGACGCAGGCCAGAGCCGGCCAGGCTCAGAGCAAAGGGCAGAACCTGGCCCTCTTCCTTCGCGTTCAGCTGGGGAGAGATGGCAGGCTGCGTCCTGGGGTTTAATAAGCCAGTGGCAGCTAAACTCTGGAAAGGAAACTTTCGATGCCCTGATTGAGAGGAAG